GGATGGGATGAGGTGGGATGGGATGGGGCAGATAGGGTGGGATGGGTTGAGATGATGGAATGGGATGGGGTAGATGGGAAGGGATGGGGTGGGATGGGCTGGGATGATGGGATGTGTTAGATGGGATGGAATGGGATGGGACATGGGTGATGGAGGAATTGCCACCACCCTGTCACATCTGTCTTGGTGGTGTCCTAGGTGGAGCAGATCCGCAGGGACATTCGGGACTTCAAGGAGACCAGTGGGGTGGACAAAGTCATCGTCCTGTGGACAGCCAACACCGAACGTTTCTGCGACGTCGTGCCAGGGCTCAACGACACTGCTGACAACCTGCTGAAGGCCATCGAGCAAGGAGGTGGGTGGGAGGGTGGCACCACCACCCCAGTGACGCTGAGCTGTCCCATGTCCCCGCAGAGAGGCCTGGAGGTGTCTCCATCCACGCTCTTCGCCGTGGCCAGCATCCTGGAGGGCTGTGCCTACATCAATGGGTCCCCCCAGAACACCTTCGTGCCCGGGGCGGTGGAATTGGCCTCGCAGCGCCGAGTCTTCATCGGTGGAGACGACTTCAAGTCGGGCCAGACCAAGCTGAAGTCGGTGCTGGTGGATTTCTTGGTGGGCGCTGGCCTCAAGGTATGTGAGGACAGGAAACTTTGGGGAGGAATCTACAGGTGACAGGGAATGACCTACCCACACCTCCTGCCCAGACCAAATCCATCGTCAGCTACAACCACCTGGGGAACAACGATGGGAAGAACCTGTCGGCGCCGCAGCAGTTTCGCTCCAAGGAGATCTCCAAGAGCAACGTGGTGGATGATACAGTCCAGGCCAATCCTATCCTCTATGGACCCCAGGACAAGCCTGACCACTGCGTGAGTTGGTGGCCAGGGAGGGGGTGGCACACACCTGGGGGTGACCCTGGGGGTGACAGAGATGGTGTTTTGCAGGTGGTGATCAAGTACGTGCCCTACGTGGGCGACAGCAAGCGAGCGCTGGACGAGTACACGTCGGAGATCATGATGGGTGGCACCAACACCATCGTCATCCACAACACCTGTGAGGTGAGCAGGGGGCACAGGGCTGTCCCCTCAGTGCCAGGAGGTGGCTCCTCACCCCCCTCTTGATGCCCACAGGACTCGCTGCTGGCCAGTCCCATCATCCTGGACTTGGCCATCCTGACAGAGCTGTGCCAACGCATCACCTTCTGCACCGAGGCTGATCCGGAATTCCAAGGTTTCCACAGTGTCCTGTCCATCCTTGCCTTCCTCTGCAAGGCTCCTCTGGTGCCCGAGGGCACTCCCGTGGT